ACAGCTGTAAAAATGAAATGGACAAAGCAATAGCCTTATGAGAAAACTCCTACACATTAGCTCTCATGTTAAGTTTACCTTCACAGGAATAAACCCTTAAAACATCTGGCTGCTGTGGCCTCATCTAGTAAAAGGAAAAATAGTTTTATCCTTTAAATGTGGTCCATAGTTCCTATAGTTTTGGGAATCTATGGACAATAAGGCTAAAAAAGACATTTTTAATGTAGCAAAGTTCAAAAGCAGGCATCAGTGATATCGAGGTATCTTAGTGGTTCACCTGACAATATGAGAGGCAGGTTTTGAAGCAATATATCCTACCTTCCAGGCAACATCTCAACACAACAGTGTAGTAGAAGTGTCGTAATAAAGAGTTGCGGGTACAAGACTGGCAACTGACTGAGTAGTTGTTGTTTGTAGTTAGGATTTGTCCGATTTGCTAATTATTGTCTTCTGTTTCCAGTCATTCTACAGAATGTCCTAATGTTATTGGATAATGGTTTTGTATATTGTTTTTTCTTTCTAACACTTTAGAAGATAGAAAGGAAATACAAAGAGCCTGCGCTAAGACAAAATATCCTTCACACTGATCGTAAAAATCTGGATTGAGGAAAATCCCCTCTAGTCTCTATAATTCACACTTGACTGCACAACATGATCTAATTGTTGCAACCTGGTGTATTGTCAGACAAAACCCATTGTGTTTTGCAGAATGGTGGACTTGGTTCTGATGGCTTGACTACAATGTCTTCAGCTTTTATGTTGATGAATACATAGAAATTGTAACTTTAAATGTATTTAATGGTGTGGCAAAGATTCACATTCAGGTTTTTCTCAGTTAAAAATAATTACATTATTATTTACATGAGACTTGGGCGTAATGAAATGTAAGCTCACAGGAATGCGTGTGAGCTAGAACCATAAGCCATAATGTAGTGCGCCAGACAGACAGAAAATCACTCAAACTGCCAAGACACTCGACTCTAAAATCACTGTGTCATCAGAGACACTTGAGGCCTTCCTCAGAGAAGCTGTCATGTATTCACACGGAGGACACTTATGCACTTATGCTTATTGGCTGCATCAGGTGTGCATGTATATGTGCGGGAATAAATGTGAAGAAACATTGCAAATAAGATCAGAGGTTTTAATGCTTTTAAAGCATTTTAGTGAGTGGGAATTGCTTATATGTACTCAATGTATTCACATTCTACAGTGTCTCCTTCAGTTACTGGAAATTTTACTTTTTTTACAGGCATTAAACGAGCCAAATATCAACCTGTGATCTGTGTTAGCTAATGTAATGGAAACTTATATTTAGAACACAAACTCACATCTATTGCTTCACAGGTTTGATTATTAAGATTGTCCACATCTATGTTGTGGATGGATGATTGCTGACTTAAGGTTCACATAGACACACCGACAGGGAACAAGCAGTGACATCAGATTAAGGTGCAGCAATGGTGTGTGAAATAGAATATATTAACGCAGACTATACCGGAACAATGAAGAATTAGAAACATTACAAATGGCGACATATAGAACAAGTATTGCAGATATAGTTCTTAGTAAGGTACTGTAGTTCAGCTAAGTTTAAGCATTATGATGATTTTCAATAAAATAAGTATACAAATTCATATGTGAGTTACTCATTACGAGTATCAGTCTACAGATGCATATGTTAGCAATTTGAGTGGTAATTGTGATTTTTATATCTTTCTCAAGTCACGGCAGCATTCTTTAAATCATAACCAGCAGTGAACCTTATATGCTGTTAACATCGCAGATGTGAATAAATACTCCATAGTGGAGTCAGAA